GCCATTGACTGCCACGGGAGCAAGAGCAGGGCCTAAATTCTTAGCGCTCCGGATCCGGACAACACTTAAACTCACGCTGACGTTCCATTTAAGTCCTGCGCTGAAATGCCGCCCTGGAATAAAAATGCTTTGCTGAATCAGGGCCTTAATATCCCCTCCCGGCCTGCCTGATGTTGTTAAATGCAATCACTTAATCTGGTGCAAGCAACATTTATATTTAAACTGCTTTGTTTGCTGTATTGTCCCTCATCTACTCACGCTAAGCCTCACCGAAGAACACTGTGCAAATGTCACCCCCATCAGAGGCGCCTTCTCATGTTAATGAACAACAACCTGCACTTTATCTGCAGCACTAGCCTTGCCTAGGTCTTATCACGGCCAGTCAATTATTTAATGGATCTCTGAGCATTAAATAATCCTCGCCCAGCTCAATGGTTGTGTAAATCTCTTCCTGGCTGCTATATAGTTGGATTAGGAGGTGCTGTTCAGCCCCCCCACCCCCCAGATGATGTTTCATCGGAGGACACAGAAAGTCTCATAGGAGAGAATTTTTCTTCCCGCTTAATCCAAGCATTTTTCATTCCAGTCCCAGAATCTGCCCTATTTCCCTGGCAGCAACAAACTGCCATGCCGGGCATCTGTTGTGAGGGCACATTCTCTACAGCATGGGGAACAGGGGCTCGAGCGGCAGAGACACCGGGTATCCAAAGGAACTGCCTCCATCTCTGCTCTCTGTAGCCAATATGGTGATGAGGAATCTAGGATGTTGTCCGGTCTTTTATTTCACAGGGTCCAACCCTGGAAGGGGCTAAGACCCAGATCTTCAAAGATATTTAGGCACCTAAATCCTATGGGGTTAAGCACCTAAATCCCTGTGAGAATCTGGGCCTTACTATAAAGACTGCGCATGGTGCAAGGCAGCAGAGAATCAGGACTGAGAGCGCCACTCACCAATCCACTGAGGGGCTTGGAGCTTTGGCCCTTAAGATAGAAATTTCCCTCTGGCTCATTGAAAGACGCGATCCCTGGCTTTGCAAGGGCTGTGAAACTGTCCCTGTGTTGCCATCCGCTTTCTGTTATGGATTGAGTCGTGTCCAAAATGTGTTACGTGCTTTCCAAACTTATAAGAAGAGGACGTCCCTTCCCCAGAATTTTGCAGTTCTCCTGTACCAGATGGGCACTGGTCACCTGCAAGAGGACGGGACAGGAGGGGTCTGTGGAACCGTGGACAACTTTTGGGGGAAATGTTGTGCTGTTTTCCTTCACCCAAAATATCAGATTTTCACAATATCTTAGGAAAACAGCAGTTTCCCTGCAGAGCCAAGCGCCATCTCAAAGTGTTCACAGGTCTCACCGCAAAAAGTTTCAAACAAGAAAGAACACAAGTAAAGTCTCCATGAGAGAGGCAGAGTGCAGTGCGTTTACCTCCTCTGGCAATCTGTCCTGAGTTATCAGAACAAAATGGCTGGGGAACTGTCTAGCGTACAGGGAGAGTGCTAAGAAACTGAAAGGTGCTGGACACAGGAGACAAAAGGACACACAGTTCCATAGCTACAATCCCATTCAATTCCAGAATTTCAATGAAAGGGGAAAATCCCCAAGTCTCTCACATGCTAAATGTTACTGTTGGGGGAAAGGACATCTTCTCATCAGCCAAAAAGGGAAAAACATAACAGGGACTTACCGGCTGCAAGGGAGCGAGATGGCACTTGTGGCTGTTAGGTGCAAAATGGCCGCTTTAGGGATGCGGCTCCCTAGCTCTGCCCAATTTAAAGGGACAGTTCCAGAACGGCATGCTGGGAAGTTCTAGACAGGCATGCCGCTAAGAGAGCAACCCAGCACTGGGGAAAGTTAGTAGGAAGCAAGGTTTTATCAGTGAAGATTGGTTGGTCCAGTGGTTAGACTGGTCATCTATGCTATAGAAGATTTGGGTTCAAGTCCTGATTCTGTCTAAATAGTCTGTGCAAGTTAATTAGTCTTTCCATGGCTTAATTCCCAATCAATTAAAACTAGTGTTTCCCTCTTTCCCAGGGATGTATGACAGCAAATACCTTTTAAAAACAGTGAGGTGCACAAATACTGTGGTGATGAGGGGTGAGTAAGAGAGCTAGAAGGTTCTGCGGGGGAAAGGGCTGCTTTGATGTTGTACCTGCTAGCATGAAATCACATGTGCGAACATTATGTTGCTCTGTGAGGAGGCAGGAAAGGAAGGATACGGCTAATCCCAGCTCTGTTATACATAACAGCAATACAGGAAATAAACAAAGCCAGCGTCATTTTGGACAAGTCGGTATGAACGGAGACATTGAACTATTTTTTCCCTCAATGTATTTATTTTTTATGTTTTAAGGCTGGGATAATCGGTAATTGTAACCTGTTATTTAAGCCTTACAAATCACTGTTGACTACTTGTGCTTTGAGGTCTTTCTCCGAAGCTTGTGCGGGCTTGGCCTTCGGATTAGGATTTCTGCTATTTAGTTTCAACCAAAAAATTACCCAGGTGGAAAAACCATTTCCAGGTGTGGAAATAACCGCAGAAAAGCAAATCCGTAGCCGTGAGATAAAGAGTGATTCACTCTGCAGACAATGGACCCGGAACCCTTTGTTTAATCTGTGCTGAGCAAATGCAACTGCCGCTGGAACACTGGGTCCACTTCTGGAGCCCACCAGTCAAGCAGGATGTTGATAAATTGGGGAGGGGTTCAGAGAAGAGCCAGAAGAACGATCAAAGAATTAGAAAACCTGCCATAGAGTGATAGACTCAAGGAGCTCAGTCTACTTAGTTGAACAAAGAGAAGATTAAGGATGTGACTTGATTACAGTCTATAACGATGTTTTCAAGGCTGGGGTGGGCGGCAGGATCCAGGTTCCTGCCTGCCCCACACAGTGGGGGTCCAGGGTCAGGGTTGCCGCCTGGCTCGCTTGGCGGCGGTCCAGGGCTGCCGACCAGCCCCATGGGGTCCAGGTCACCAACCAGCCATGTATGGAGGGGGTCCGGGGCTGCCTGTGGAGGGGTCTTTGGGCTGGAGGTCCTGGGCATAGGGGTGTGTGAGGCGAGTTCGGCAAGGGGCATTGTGGTTTTCAACCTGCGGCCCAGGTAACACATTGTGGGCCACATATGCAGCCCACAATGATAAATAGGTTGAGAACCACTGGTCTACAAGAATCTACATGGGGAACAAATCTTTAATAATGGGCTCTTCTTTCTAGCAGAGAAGGGTGTAACATAATCCAAGGGCTGGAAGTTTAAGCTAGAGAAATTCAGACTGGAAATCAGGTGTGAGTAATTAACCATTGGAACAATTTACCAAGGGTTGTGGTGGGTTCTCCATCACTGACAATTGTTCAGTGAAGATTGGATGGTTCTCTAAAAGCTCTGCTCTAGGAATTATCTGGGGGCAGTTTTCTGGCCAGTGTTCTGTAGGGGGTCAGACTAGATGATCACAATGGTCCCTTCTGGCCTTGGGATCTCTGACTCTAAGAGACAGTAGCTAAGCAGATTCACAACATCGCTATTTAGTGAATAGTGTTCAAGTGACCCAGATGTGTTTAATGGCCAAGTAAATAGTGGCCATTTGCACTCCAGTCACTGGGTTTGTTTCAAATAATATAAAATCCTGGCTAGAGTCATAGAAGATTAGGGTTGGAAGGGACCTCAGGAAGTCATCTAGTCCATCCCCCTGCTCAAAGCAGGACCACCCCCAACTAAATCATCCCAGCCAGCAGATGAGAACGGGCCAGCAGATGAGAAGGTGGCAAAGCCCAGGTGGGCATGGCTGAAAAAGTTGGTGATCTGTACAGTCTAGACACTATACTGCACCAGCATTAGAGGGGTAGCTGAAATTTTGCCCTTGACACAGGAATGTCCAAATTTTTACCATGGCTTGGAAGCAACCAGAGAAGCAACCCTGAGACTAGAGCCCAGCTCAGGCAAGAGACCACAGCTGCGGTGGCTACATAGAGCCTCCGTATGGATGGCCCTGGGCCTGTCTGGGGTTTCTGGGTGTGACCCGAACCCTTTTCCACAGAGGAACACGGCAGGGGACTCACTTTCCCAGGCCAGGATCATCCGCCTCCTGCTGGTCGTTCACTCCCAACACCCACCTCACACTGTTCACTATGAGCCAGTCCCCACTACCCACAAATGCCCATTATTTCAAATGGGTTTGAATCCCTTAACATACAGTGACACTGAAAACTCCCCCCTTATCTCACACCCCCTTTATGAGCTGGGCAGTAACTCTACTGAAGGTTAAGACTAGCTTTTACAAGCCAATTCTTCTGCTGTTCCAGCCGGGGATTGCAGGCCAGGTTCTCAGCTCTGCCCCTTCCATGCTCCCTGCCCAGCCCTGCTTAGCCTCCAACAGCCCCTTCCTCCCCCTGAGACCAAGCAAGTATCCCAGGGGGTGTAGAGAGGACATGGGGGATAGGACAACACGACAGCAGCAGGGGCAGGAGCTGTGCTCCCAAGCAAGAATGGAGCTTCAGGCTCTGTTTATTCCCAGTGCTACTGCCAGCTCCAAGGGGCAGAGTTAAGGTTACAAGGTGGAGTGGGTGGTTTTACTGTAACGCCTGGGTTTTAGAGGTTTAAATTTCGCCACCCCGCACACTCTGGAAGGGGATGGGGCAGCACCAGGCAACCTTAATTCCCTGTTAATGACTTTTTTTTTAAAGTGAATCTGAATAAATTGCAAGTCCCCCATTCTGTTCAGATGAATACTTTTCTCGGAGATACAGCTCATTAACTTAATTAATTAGCAATGCTTCGAGAGCCCTCCGCAGAAGCACAGGGCTACAAATGTCCTATCCTGCAGCATAAGGTAACCCTGTTTGTTTAGCCCTATCTGGGTTAGGCCGTTCTAAACCCGCCTCTATTCTTTCACTTTGATAGGCTCCTAAATGAAAAGCCGCTAATATTTTAAGCAGGAGGCGCTCCCCTGAAAGTCACTTTAAATCCCCTGGCTCGTCCTCCCTGAACACCTGGCGTAACGCCGTGGGTTTCATCGGCGCAGAATCAGGCCCTGCTCCGGATCTGAGGAAGGGGCAGCAATTGAGGCCACGGGCTGGGCATTAGACGGGGGCCTTTTGAGCAGCGTCACCCCCTCGGTGAAGAAGTTCTCCCAAGCAGCTCCAGAGAAATAATGCTTGATTCCTGGCGGCGAGAAGAACTGATAGGAGGCTGACTAAGAAGCGTTCATGCAAATGCTCCCGAATTAAGCTCCGGCTTGAAGTTAGAAAGGAGGGATGATAAACACACTCAGCTTTAAAACTGCCAAATATGCTTTGCAGGCATGACGCCGGGGAAGTAACAAAACAGCCTGACATAAGCAAAGCATTTCTGCAGCTCCCTAAAACCAAAGTCCCATTAAAGAGCCCTAACTATTATTTACACTTCGAAATCTTAAAACCATTAACAAAAGCCACTTAATTCAATTACTTTCCCTGGGCGCCGCCGTTAGTACATTCGGCTGCGGTCGGGGACGTATGTGTGTGTGGGGGGGGGGGTTGTTGATTTGTTCCCCCGCCTCCCCATTTTCATCCCCACCTCGCCTCCCTTCCCCGACGTCAGTGTGTGGAGCTAATGGGGTAAAGTGAAATGATGTCTCTCCCCATTGACAGGTTTATGAGAATTTAATAAAGCGTGGCGCGGCTAAAATGAGATATTACAACGCCGCACCGAGCTGATTGACTCCCTCACGTCAGCATTTTTGTGCCGGGATATTGACAGCTCCCGGCCTAATCACGTCATTCGAGTGGAAAGACGCTTTTATTTATTTATTTGTTTGTTTTAAAACAGGGCCTCGGGGCTTTGCGGGTGCCCTAGCTTCCTGCCCCCGGCCAGAGGACGAGAAGCTGAGGGCCAGCCAAGAACTTTTCTTCCACATGCACCCCCTGTTTCATCTTGGTGCCCAACTCCCATGAGGAATTATACCAGGGAGGCGTCCTGAGAGTGCAGGAAAGAGCCTCATAAAACCAAAACCGACGAGGAGTCCTTGTGGCACCTTAGAGACTAACACATTTATTTGGGCAGAAGCTTTCGTGGGCTAGAACCCACTTCATCAGATGCAAAAACAAGTTACTCCTCCCAGCCGAGGTCCTCGTGTTATTACAATTATAGTTCATTCTTTGTATTGTGGGTGTGTCGAAGAACCCCAGTTATGGACCAGCACCCCATCGCGCTAGGGACTGTACAAACAGCCGACAAGCTAAGTACTCCTCATGGGCTCGTCTTCCTGTCACTTCTGACATGCTGGTCCTCCCTCCGCTCAGAGCCTGATCCATTCATGGGGGTCCAGCCAGTCACTGGGGCCCAGATCCTCCAGCCTATGTCGGCCCCTAACTCTCATTGATTTCAGTGGAAGTTAGGGGCCTACATACCATGGAGGATCTGAGCCTGGGCGTCTTGCCGAGCCCAACCCCCATCATGAAGCTAGCCAGCTGCAGTGTACGGCGACCCGCAGTTCTGCCTCTGCCTTATGCCCCGCTCCTCGGCCCCACGTTCTAAGTGTGATGTCAGCAGTTGGGAAAGAACAGCGCCACCAGACAGCTAAGCCATTCCCAGGCATTTCTAACTCCCACCAGGGATTGTACTCTACTGTATTTAGCCACCTAACTGTCATGATTTTTTTTTCTGTGCTGCACCTTTAAATTTCTCAGAGTCTACTGGAGGCAGCTGCCATCGTGTTTTGTTCCAAAGCAGCATGTAACACAGGAGACAGGCACCCCGTGCTCTCTCTCTCACACACAAACTTTATTTTTGTTCTTTCTTGTTTCCCCTCACGCTAAAACAAAAAGGCATTCAGACTCAGTTGGTTTTGGTTTATGGAAAACAAAGACTCCTGGCTACAAAGGCACACACCCAAAAAGTCATAACAGTCACAGCCACATATCCCAAGCAGTCACCCTTTTAATCAACATAAGAACGGCCATACTGGGTCAGACCAAAGGTCCGTCTAGCCCAGTATCCTGTCTTTCAATAGTGGTCAGTGCCAGATGCCCCAGAGGGAATGAACAGAACAGGGAATCATCAAGTGATCCATCCCCTGTCACCCATTCCCAGCTTCTGGCCAACAGGGCCTAGGGACACCATCCCTGCCCATCCTGGCTAAAAGCCATTGATGGACCTATCCTCCATGAACTTATCCAGCTCTTTTTTGAACCCTGCTATTGTCTTAATAATAAATTAATTTATCTGTATGGACCAGGACCCATTGTGCTAGGCGCTGTACAAACAGAACAAAAAGACAGTTCCTGCCCCATTGCCACATCAGGATGGGGAAGCAGCCTGATCTGTAAGAATGAGCGTAACTCAAGAGGTCCAGAGTTTCTACACCTGACTAGCTGCATGACCTTGGGCAAATGACTTAACCTTCCCAGGCCTCAGTTTCCCCATCTGCAAAACAAGGCTGGGAAAATCAATTATTTTCTCTGAGCCTCGGTACATGTCCCTTACCCTATGTCAGAGCAATAGTTAGATACTTTTAACCATCCCTGTAGTTAATTAGCGAGATCCCTGTGCTGGGAGGTACTGAAGCCAACGGCTCTGAGAACGTTCAGCACTTTCTAGAGTATCTGCCCAGCACTACACTCCTGAGTGCTGGAGGCATGTCAATGAATAAGTGAAGAAAAAGGGCGAAATCATGAAGGGCGGTGAACACCGGAGCAGCAGGTGCTTGGG